AGACAAGTGAAGCCTATCCTTTGACTAAACGTGTGTTAAATAGTTTTTGCATCTACCCTTCTGCCATGGGTTATTCACATGTGTGGTGTGCTCCTTTGAGCGACATTCTTGAAGGCCCTTCACACTCCACACTGTCGTCATCACCCCCTTCACGCTTGTGCTGGGAATCGGGACCAGAGTTTTTCATATTGTTACCTAGTCCTTTCCTGGGTCTTATCAGATTTTCCCTCTTGCCCTGTCAAATCTGTCTGCTATCTTTCTCGTACATGTATTTCACTTGACCCCTGCCCCTCCATCTATGCTACTCAAGGCGTAATTCGTCCATCCCCGTACCTGAGTAATTGATCAGAGGCTAAAGTCTGAGAGTGAGTCTCATGGTTATCCCTTATCTACATGGACCACGTCTTTTCCAAAATCTACTGTCAGACAATCATCTCCAATCGTCGCTACGTCTATACTGTCTCTATCCCTAATACATTTTTTACATACGTACCTGATTAAATTCTAGTTAATTAACGTCGACTAAAATGATTGACTTTTGATGTTCAACAATAGGAGGGTATAAGGTCTTTTTAAATTGCATATTTTTGCTAACGATGTATAGATATGTTGTAACCATTAATTACTTGTTTTCATGCAATTGTTGACATATTCAAAGATATTTAATGACTAATATTCTAACTGCATTTCCTTGCTTTTCCCATTACATGTATGTCAGGGTTTTTCTACTGCATGAAATGCTGTGCATACTTATACTCATGCAAATAGCATTAATTACTCATCCTATTCTCATTCGCAATCTGAATACCTACTAAGTCTTTCTTAATTATAATAACACATTCTTAACCGGGTATTTTTTTGAATAAAATTCAATAATTTTATAAAGTAGATATAATAGATGAATTTATATATGTGTTAGTTTTAGTCAATATTCAGCGCTATATTCGGTCTCTTAGTCGCCTGTGGCAATTACTTCTGCGCACATCTTGTTATGCCTACCATTAAGTTGGCTAGTTCTGATGGGGAGATTTTTGAAGTTGATATTGCTGTTGCGAGACAGTCATTGACTATAAAGACAATGCTCGATGGTTAGCGTGTTTGAATCTTTGCAAATTGAGGGTGCCTATTTATTCATCCTGGCATTCTCTTTTCTTATAGAGCTTGGAATAGAGGAGGACAATGAAGAGGAGCCAGTTCCTTTGTCGAATGTCAACGCCGCTATTCTTCGCAAGGTAATCCAGTGGTGTACATACCACAAAGACGATCCACCTGCTCAAGAGGATGATGAAAACAAGGAGCGCAGAACAGATGATATCCCAAGCTGGGATCAGGAATTTCTTCGAGTAGATCAGGGTACACTATTCGAGTTAATATTGGCCGCTAATTATTTGGATATTCGAGGCCTCTTGGACGTTTGCTGCAAATCCGTTGCAAGCATGATAAAGGGTAAAACTCCTGAAGAAATAAGAAAAACCTTCAATATTAAATGTGATTTCACACCACAAGAAGAGGAACAGGTGCGTAAATTTCCTTTTTATTGCCTTGCTCTAATGGCTGCCGCAAATTGCTTTCGCTAATACTTTTTAATGTATTTGCCATCCACTTTTTATGATGGTATTTTAATCAGTTTAATTAAGTAATGTCGCCTTTGCTAGCTTCATTGGTCATTTGACTAGCATGCAAAATTTTTAGCCAGATTTTTTTCTTTACCTGTTAGTAATTGGGTTTGCATATAATATGCGTGCCATAAGGGATAAATAATTTGTTATATTAGATTATCATCAAATTCCTTGTTTTCCTCCTGTTATTAATCAGAAGGGACGCATTGTTTTTGCTTATCTAGACTTACCTGGCCGGTTACATCTTACATCTTTTAGGATTTCATGGGCCATCATTCTAGTTCCCGACTGGC